GTGACCATTTTGCAAAAGTCATTTGCCTTATTTACTTAAGGGTGTTACTTTTTCGACAGCAAACGAGAGCTGAAAAAAGGCGTTCTTGTTTAACTTCTTCAATAGAAAAAGAAACGTTGAAATAGACGATGTTCTAGAGATATCGTCATGGATGTTGAATGCTTACAAAGTACTATCATTCAAGCCTCGTAAAATCCAAGATGGTTGGTCACTACAATTTTGAAAACTCATTGTTCTCTCGCCCGTGGCGATAAATCGGGATCATTTTCTCCTCTTCCCTCGGGAAGAGAATAAAAAGATATTAGGAGCAAAATTATTACCATGATGAAGTGAATTTCGAGAAACGGAAATTCCTGTTTTACAATGCATCAACATATCTTGCTTGTGAATAAGATATTGACTTTTGACTTGGAAAGTGTATTTTGAAATTTGCTTGAGAGTTAGCATACTTACAATGCGGGATAGACGAGACATATTATTATTTTTATTTGTCTTTATCATAAAGCTGATATCAGTTGTATAAAGGAAATAATGGTTAGATTTTGATAAAAAACACCATTACATTTAAATATTAATCCTTCTGATAAATGTTATATTAAAAAATGCGTAACCATTTGATTAAAAACGTAAAAATAAATAATATAAAATAGGAGCGACCCAACACTGATTCATATCATTATCGTTTGGAGAGTGTAAACAATGTATTTGCGCAGGCGCGACGCTAGAAAATTCAGAAGAAAAATAAACAAAGTTGCGGGTTAAAACAAGGTTTCGGAAGGTTACTTGATGAGCTCGGCTATCTTCGATGAAAACAGTGAATGGCGGTAGACATAACAGCGAGTTTCGACCACTGTTAGTTTGAAGCTAATAATCTTAATATTTTTTTCTAAAAAAGTGCTATACTTTTGTGAATAATCTAATATCAAGTATTACAACACGTGCCCGAAATCAAACACGTGGCAAAAAGTAACGAAATCTAGCCATTTAGTCCCTCTGGAATGTATGACAATGAAAAGGTAAACCTGTCTTTCGCCTAGCAATACGTCTAATATAATATAAAATTGAAATATATACATCTAAGATCTTCAAACATATGCTTCGTTTTGTCTAGTTTTAAACTTAGACTCAAAAACTTCTTCTGAATAACAAGAAGACCAAGGGTTATGAGGTTTGGCTATTTGAACTTTGAAACAGCCAGTAACCCTGCCATTCAAAAATCTTAGATCAGTAGCATACTGGAGTAGTAAAGTTGATATTAATGAATTAGTTGGTCCACTTTCAACGGTAAACTTATCAATTACCCATAAATTTTAACACAACTGTTAATCGTAATTCCAGATCCGCCTTTTATGAGTGGAGCATAATGAATCTTTTTGTCATGCACTAGAGTTCTTCTGGCTATTGAATCTTTTAAATCCCATTCATGGCTTGTTAGGAAAAAGATCGGATATAATGGATATTATGACCTTATAAATGCTATACCAAGAAACTGGAAACAGAAAGAGGAAAATTATATACAGATCCATATTACCACTTGTACAGTGGTAGAATGTATTAATAAGTGGGAATGTAACATTTACGTAAGTTATTGTTCAATAACCATGAAGTAAAACCAGTCACAGAAAACGGAATGTAGCAATACAGCTGATAAAGCATGGCAAATCTACTACCTATGTACTAAGCTTCTTACTGGTGACACCAAACTTCTAGGTTTCTATACACAAATGAACGTTTAAGTTATTGAAACAGAAACGTGTTCGAATAGAAATGCAAGAGAGAGAGAGAGAGAGAGAGAGAGAGAGAGAGAGAGAGAGAGAGAGAGAGAGAGAGAGAGAGAGAGAGAGAGAGGGGGGGGTGTTCTTGCTAATAGAATGTTGCGATGAAGGACTATCCAGTTTGCTAACCTTGAACCAATTTTAAGGTCGTAAGTGTGAAATTGATAAAAAAATCTTTCCCATCTTAACTATAATGCGGTGGTATGTATGTGTAATATTGTTGAATTATTATTATTCTGAAATATGAATTGTTTACGCTAAAGGTTATGTATCACGTGAGTACTTCTGGTAGTTGCTTAAAATTTGTTGATAAAAACGTACGAGCTGATATGAAATCATGACCATTTTTTCGGGTCACATTGTTCAAATGTACACAAATCTTCCATTATCTTCTAAATCCCCAGAGGGTTCAAAGTCATGACATTTAACTAGTAGCATACTTTATTAAAAGGTTATCAAGTACATATATATTGAAATGAAACAACTCCTCCTTCGAAGCACACTTTAATATGTTCTGGTCTTCTCTTCATAGCTGAGGATCCAGAAGTTTTAGAATAACGTAGGTCCGTAGCGCTTCTTAATTGAAAATCACCATTCTCCAAAACAGATATATCCTGAATAGATTATCTATATATCTTTTCTGATACGCCTATATCGGCATTGTGTATGGTATGCATATTTTTCTAAAATGTTTATATCATAAACATATATTTATCCATCTTTAAACTGAAAAGTACATAGTGGTAAACACACTATCTTCTAGATATCCAATTACTCTACTCGCCACTCACATCAACACCTGTGGACCTTATGTGCTTAACATGCATACTTTAACTATTTCCGTGCTGATTTCAGTAGGCGTATGATTTGGAGAGTCGTAAATAATCCATTTTTTTAATTTCCAGCATTTTTTTGTCTTTAAGCAGTTTCTCGGAGCCAAATTGATGAAGGTTGATGTCTTTTGCTATGTAACTTCCTGGATGTAAGCTCAACAGTGTTGGACAAGAAACGACATAGACACAAAGTCTTTGTCACAGGAGGCAATTACCATTGCTTCAAAGTCTTTTAATTAACAAAAAGGATTAGAATTACATGTATTGCTGTTTTGCTTGAACTGTAGTTTTCAAAGATAGAGTCGTACAAAGCTTGAAAAAATGACCTTGATCAAAAGAGGTCATATTTGATAAACTGCAGCCTTTTTTCTGAATTAAAAGGACTTAGGTGGCGATCAGGATCTTTAGCAAGAAACTTGCAGACATTAAATGGTAATTTCTTCGAAAAAGTATTCGACCGAAATTCAAGGTCACACGAGCAAAAATTTGTAAACTCTCCAATGATTTTTTAATCAGTTTAAAGAGTTTCTTTCTTCTTTTTCAAATATTCTTATGATATCTTTTATAAACAACAAGATCTTGGACATTCAAATCTGGATAACATCTTAATTGTGACTAATTGCAATCAAATATCTGTTTCATATTAGAATCATTCAATCATGTATAAACCCGGTTTAACTCTCAGACATAACATGAGCTTATTGAATTCCAGTTAAGTAATCCAGATAAAAGACGTCTTGTTTCACCAACTAACAGCAGCATAGGAGCATAACACAGCTACGTTAACTTCAAGTCATGCATGGTATCACATTTCTTACTCAAAAATTTATTTGTACAAAAATGTTCGTTTACAGTACTTCCAGTACTTTGTTTGAAAATGATATAAATCTAAGACCTATTGTTAAAGCGTAGCCGAGTCGACTACAGCACATCGTTACATTTTCGTGTATTATTTGTATCTATAATCTGTTGATCATCTGGTCATACTATTCATAGGATTATAGTACAGCCGAGAGAGTTGGTTGATTCCTTACCATCTCGTACACTACTACGTCAGCTCTAGTACGATAGTATAGAATTGTTTGTCTGAAGGTATATAATGTTTTAAATGCTACTGATTATGTTTTTAACATTTCGTTTAAATAAAAATAATGGTATCCTATCCTTCTAGGAAACAAGATATGGTCACTGGTTTCATTATCCCAGTAGTAGTAATTCCACATCTCGGGTATTAGTCTTTTGTTTATTGTTTGGCCCCGTTAATCGATTTTCAGATTGACCAATAGTTTTGGTATTTTCTTGTTGTTTAATGAAGCACACTACAACCTTAAATAATATATCTTATGGCTATTCTTCCAGTTCATAGTTTGGTCTTCTAAATTTGGATGTAACAGATAACACACAGTATTTATGTATGTGGTGGAGAACGACAATGGATACTTTATTTGGACGTTTTGTATTTGTGTAACACATTCTTTTCTACCTTCATTTCACTTAACATCTAAACGTTGTTATATATCTTGCTCTCATTTGTGATATTAATTACTCGGATTGACCAAAGTTTACATGTAGGATGTCGTCGGTGAAGCAGAAGGCGTTTACTCTCCCGGAAGACATGGTCTCATTCCCATTGACATGTTGGTATATTTGTGTTGTTTCTTGATATATGTAAGATAATTTTGGCTTCAGTTACGGGTCCGCAACCTATGTGTTTGTTTCTTGAACATGTGTAACCGTAAATATAGCCGAATTGAACTATTATGAAGCGAATGGTGGGAAGGTCACTTGAGATCTTTCTATTTGTTGTGAATATAATATTTTTTTAATAATCCAGGTACACCAATGGTCTAGGTGTTCCGATCGAGTAAAACGTTTTATGAATCAATGACAACATAAATTATGTTTTTATGAAGTAATTTGTCGTCTTTTTGCATTGAAAAAATATAAATAAACAATATTTTCCAAAGATCAAATTGTTTAAAGCTTGAGAAACTACGTTTAACAATTCAATCATAAAGATATGGCAGATAAGTCAACCATGTATGTGATATGGCTATCCTTCTAGGAAGCATACAATTCTAGGTTATGATGTACGCTTTGTCGAGATTCTGCACCCAAATTATATACTCAAGGGCAGAATATCTATTATTCCACATGGGTGATCTACCTGGGCTACACCTAAACTACATAGGCAGAGGAGGAAGAAAACAAAAGATATCAAAACAGTTCATCGAGTTATGAAAGAAAGATACAAATTAGAATTCAGGAATTATATCAAAAAAGACAGATGTAAACGAACGAGATCATTACAATTTCATTTATAACTATTAATGATTTGACTTCTACATGACTATTAATTATATACTAATAATGTATTAATCTGTGAACTTACCATGATTAGGACGACGACGGCGAACGAGTAGTAGACGGAATCTCGACACAGGGACCACCAAGACAGCGTGATCACCTAGACAACACACAAAATGGCGGATGTTTAAATAAACCATTCGTACATCAATAATCGAAAGATACACATCCCAGAACGTGTAGGAAAAGATACAAGAACATGTTTGTCACGTGCCAAAGCAATTGTTTGCTAGATCGTCCTAATATATCAATTATCTTCAGCATTAAAATGTTGGTTTAGTATAAGAATTAAAAACAATGTTGTAATGTCAGTTATTCTCATACTTGAGAGCTGTCTTTGCCGACTTGTGTTTGTATTTGCATTTATAATGCATAATGTACGAGTTATGTTTCTATGGTTTATGGTGATCGTTTGTGAGCTGTTAAATTTGAAATCAAAGCCACTAGACATTAATAAACCGCTACCTTCGATCACATATCGCTAACGACCGGAACCAACTTCCTATTCACGAGTACGACATTCAGTTATTTTGTTTTCCCAAGTACATGACAGATGTCAGCATCTAATGGAAAACTCTCAAAGGTTATAGTGATGCCGATTAATGAAGATGATTTTTAAAACTGAAGTCATTCTGATCTTACTGGGATACTTTTTCCATGTGCGATAAGATATGTGAATTGTTTGATTCTCGCAAGTACTCCCATGTGGTTTGGCTTTTGATTAGTCGGTAGTAATTTAGAGAACATGGCATTGATTACATAGATAAATATGGCTGGTGTAGTCTGAAACGCATAATCTTACACTCTTTGTATCTTTAGGTTTTATTTTAGTTTTAACCGACTGACGATTGTCACGTATCGGTTTACTTTCGATATTTGTAAATAACACGTAATTAAAATAAATCCAAGTTCAGTTATGATATCATATAACACCATTTTCTATGTTTCTGGTAATATTAGAATCTGTGTTAAGATGACATGCGATAAATACTGTGACGTAACATTTGCTGAAACTATCTCTGAATATATGTAACTTTGTGATACATGTGATAAATCTTATAAAATCCTGACAAGGAGGCCCGAGAATATGAATGGTAAGTTAGGATTTACCTCTGGGTGAGTGTTACTTTTATACTGACTTATAGGTGGAGACGGTACGTTCAGGTTAGCCGTCTCTGACACAGAGATATAGTCGGCTGACAATTAAAGTGCCAGACTCGATCAGTTACTAGATCTACCTAACCTATCAATAATGTACAACGGCGAGCACAGCAATAGACAAACATCCTCTAATATAATCTACCTGGTGGTAAAGTACCTACTATCCCCAGTATATAAAAAACCTACACACACACAAATACATTTTATTGTGTCCTCATTCAGAAGAAATGTATAAGAAATAGCCTGTTAACAATTACCTGTTTTGTGAGTTGTAACATTCTGACCGCAAGGCACTGGATGGAAAATGTTTTAGAACAATCTAGGTAAGTTTGACGTTTGAGAGACTGTTAATGGTTGACTGATTGAGAGCAGTCTGTGCTACTCTGACGTTTGAATGCGTGCTCAAGGGAAACAGTTTCAAACCAGTCAGTGTCTTTCTGACGTTTGAGTGTGTGTTAATCGGAAACTGTTTTAGAGCAATCTGTAATTCTGACGTTTGAGTGTGTGTTTTAATGAGAAACTGGTTTCAGAGAAAGCTGCGTATTTTTTGAATGTTTGAGTGTATTGATAGGAAGCTGTTTAGAACAATACGTTTGAGTTTGTGTACAAGGAAAACGGTTAAACAACAATCTCTGATATCTAGATAGAAGATTACATGGGGCGACTTTTATGTTATTTGTATTGGTTTCTTCTATTCTTTTGTATTTGAACGTCTTCGAGGTGACAGCTCCGAATCGAAGAGTTGTGCCGTATTACGCAACAACGCCAATCAATAAGACAGTCCGTGCATTTCATTAAGCAGAGAAAACTTCTGTCTATACTAGCATACCGAGAATAGCATATTGTTCTCCATGTATAAAGGGAATGTTAATATAAACTAGACTACTACCGGTAAAGACAAATACGGGCAGAATGATCATAGCGAATGCAAAAGAAATACCAGTTTGTGCTCGCGTTAATAATACCGGCTGCTTCTTTAGTCCTGACAGGGTCTAAGGTGTGTTATTCGATTTCTCACACCTACGTATTAACATCTGTTTAGACATTGTTTTTTAGGCTGATATAAATTACTATCACCGTATTTTAATGAACGAACGAAACAATGAAGATTTTAATTTGCTGGCAAAAATCATGTAATTTGTATTGTACTTTCAACATCAGGGTAGGTACAGACAGGGATTTAATTTGATCACATGTTTTTTTTATTATGTTGAGAATAAAAAAGTAAAGCAAGAGCACGTTAAAGATGGCGCTATGCACACACGCTTTATATATATACAAATAGTAAGCAGGATTATAATCCAATCTCAATACGAGCAGGTTGAAAGGGGAAACACGTGTTAACAGTATCGTAATGCAAAGTCAAATTTAATAACACTGGGGCAAATACACGAACAAAATATTTATACAAAACATCAAAGGAGAATAAGACCAGGTCAGGTAAACAACAACGGAACCAACAGGTGTGCTAACGAGCATCAAACAAGGTAAACAACAACGACACCAACAGATGTTTAAACCATCATCAAACAAGGTAAACAACAAGGGCACCAACAGGTGTTCTAACGAGCATCAAACACGGTGAAAAACAATGGAACCGACAGGAATACTAACGAGCGTCAAACAAGGTTAACATAAACGGAACCAACAGGTGTGCTAACGAGCATCAAACAATGTAAACAACAATGGAACCACCAGGTGTGCTAACGAGTGTCAAACAATGTAAACAACAACGGAACCAACAGGTGTGCTAACGAGCATAAAACACGGTAAACAACAACGGAACCAACAGGTGTTCTAACGAGCATCAAACACGGTAAACAACAACGGAACCAACAGGTGTTCTAACGAGCATCAAACACGGTAAACAACAACGGCACCAACAGGTGTGCTAACGAGCATAAATTACCTACTTCATAACCGAAAATCTGTTGTAACATCCTCTATCAAAATCATGTTATTGAGAACAAGTCCTTGAAAATATCGAATCAGCTGCGACAATTAAACAATAGATCGGGGATGTAAGGTTGTCGCTCTCTAGAAATAGAAGATTTACGGTACGCTTAGTTTAGGAAAGAGTTATCCCTGATAATTAGCTTGTTGAGGTAAGCGGCTAATGGTTTCCAATTCTTGTGGTCATATAAGATGGACATAGTCAATATGTTTTTAATTTCAAGACATTTTTATATCTGAAGGAGAGATTTTAAAAGACTTCGTAAGGTCAGTCTCAACACTTTAATTCAACACTTACCAAAAAAATTTAATAAATCCATTTTTATTTCAAAATACATGTCACGTACATTTGTATATTTTAAACAGTGTCACTTTTACATCGAATTGAAATGTGGCGTAAGACAATTACAAGAACATTTACACGCGCATGAAAAAGTCTGGCGCATGTCAAATGATTTATGGATGAAAGGTGTCCTTTCTGATCGGAGGAAGTGCGGTCTAGGAGTATATTTAGCTCTAGATATATTTAAGAGACATAATATGCATGTACGAGCCATGAATATAATATGAGCAATCACAATTCCATTCGACTTCTAAAATACATAACAAACGCCCTCCAAGGGGAATGTAATTTGCATTTAGACATTGAAGAGATGTTTCGTAGGAAACAATGAAAAAGACAAAAGGCATAAAAAATGGACATTAATCCTTGCATTGGAACGTGGGTAATGTGAATGGGGGTTAATGTGAGATTAGACTGGACGGACCCAACATGCCCTGAATCGGATATAGCTTCACTGTCAGTAAGAACATTTTCTCAGTCGCAGACCTTCTCAAGGGACAGTCTGATCCTTCCAAAATCTATACAGAGGGTCATTCATCAAATTTTATTTGACACTATTTCCCGTGTGTCTGTTTATAGCTAAAGTAAGGTCATTAGCAAATACATTTCGAAGTAGGTGTCTGGTTCCCTTTTGTATCTTATAACTGTGTGGTAACCATTTTATCTTAGGAAGTCACTTAGTGGTATGTCTTTGGTTTCCTATGGTATCTTATAACTGTGTGGTAACCATTTTATCTTAGGAAGTCACTTAGTGGTATGTCTTTGGTTCCCTATGGTATCTTATAACTGTGTCGTAACCATTTTATCTTAGTTAGTCACCTAGTGGTATGTCTCTTTTGTTCCCTATTGTATCTTATAACTGTGTGGACTATTATGCCGTAACCTGCATACCGTGTTTTAATTCATTTTAATATTGGCACGATTCAGAATATATATCAGATATATGGAAATCAATTACACTGAACTAAGGTAACTGAATTATGGCGAAGTGCACCACTCAATTTAAATTTTGAAATTTCTTTCGATCTGTTCAGAATTTCCTCAGTCGCCTCCGCGGTTAAACTGACTGGCATCACTGATGAATCCCAGAAGGATGAAACTACTCATTCCTACACAACAATCACCTCATACCTAAACAGTTACCACCTCACACCCACGTAGTTACCACATCACACCCACACAATTATTACCGCACACCCACATAGTTACCACCCCATACCTAAACAGTTACCACCTCATACCTAAACAGTTACCACCTCACACCGACATAGTTACCACCTCATACCTAAACAGTTACCACCTCACACCGACATAATTACCATCTCACACCCACACAGTTATTACCGCACATCCACATAGTTACCATTCCATAGCTAAACAGTCACCACATCACATCCACATAGTTACCACCCCATACCTAAACAGTCACCACATCACATCCACATAGTTACCACCCCATACCTAAACAGTCATCACATCACATCCTCATAGTTACCACCCCATACCTAAACAGTCACCGCATCACATCCACATAGTTACCACCTCATACCTAAACAGTCACCACATCACATCCACATAGTTACCACCTCATACCTAAACAGTCACCACATCACATCCACATAGTTACCACACAATATCTAAACAGTAACCACATCACATCCACATAGTTACTACCCCATACCTAAACAGTCACCACATCACATCCACATAGTTACTACCCCATACCTAAACAGTCACCACATCACATCCTCATAGTTACCACCCCATACCCAAACAGTCATTACATCACATCCACATAGTTATCATCTTACACCTACAGAGTTACCACCTTACATGCACATAGTTACCACCTCACACACACACTATAATCACCTCACGTCCACACAGTTACCACCTTTCGCCCACATAGTTACCACGTCACGCCCACACAGTTACCACCTCACGCCCATACAGTTACCACCTCACGCCCACACAGTTACCACCTCACGCCCACACAGTTACCACCTCACGCCCACATAGTTACCACCTCAAACACACACTGTAATCACCTCACGCCCACACAGTTACCACCTCACGCCCACACAGTTACCACCTCACGCCCACATAGTTACCACCTCACGCCCACACAGTTACCACCTCACGCCCACATAGTTACCACCTCACACACACACTGTAATCATATCACGCCCACATAGTTACCACCTCACGCCCACACATTAACCACCTCACGCCCACATAATTACCACCTCACACACACACTGTAATTACCTCACGCCCACACAGTTACCACCTCACACCCACACTGTAATCACATCACACACACACATTTACCACCTCACGCCCACACAGTTACCACCTCACACCCACACTGTAATCACATCACGCACACATAGTTACCACCTCACGCCCACACATTAACCACCTCACGCCCACATAATTACCACCTCACACACACACTGTAATTACCTCACGCCCACACATTAACCACCTCACGCCCACATAATTACCACCTCACACACACACTGTAATTACCTCACGCACACACATTTACCACCTCACGCCCACATAGTTACTACCATAGATGTATGATGTGATTCACTTGTCTGACTCTATTTGATCGTATATCAACATTTCGGTGTAACCGATATAAAAACCATTCAGCAGACAGAAAGACAATGTCAAATAAAGCTACTTAACTGCAGCATTGGTAAACAAATACCTTCCACTGAACCGACGTCAGTGTTACACCAACCTTATAATAAAGCACCGTGATCGTGTAGCTCGATGTATTTTATAACAGGTTACAGGTAATAAGAATCAAGCTCTCATTTCTTGAAATGTATCCATCATGTATAGAAAATCTCTCTGGAATATACCTGTAGCTCATTTATGTTATTTAGCTATGGTCGTCAAGAAGCAAATCATGTACTAGTATTTAGTAGGGTAAATGGTCAAATATATCATGATATATGACGGATTACGTAGCGTCAGCACGTCTACCCACAGAATCGGCGATTACCATTATGGTATTATTGTGTACTCTATGGAGAAGCCTAGAGTGGCTTTACTTGTATGGATACGATTGCCGGCTTCAGTCAGTGATCGATGACGAGGGACAGAATTTGTCTCCATTCACCGGCTTTCTCTTAGAGCAACAGGGACAATTGGTCCCGACTTCGTTTATGTCTATAGAGTGAAAAAATGGCCATGTCACGAATCCCTTAAATTCATCTTATCGCTAAATCCAGAACGAGTCTGGCTTACTGCCTACTAGCGTGAATTCCCTAGACAAGCAGCTGATACGGACAAAGGATGTCTCAGAGAAACAATCCGCGTGGATCATCACGTGTCAGGCGATGTCCTGCCTAATTACACCATATCTATACAATATGCTTTCGCTTAGTCAATCGTTAACAGTAAGCATCCTCAATAAACACGTCTAGTGACACACCTATTCAGAAAAGCCACGTTACAGCAACATTCCCCACGCCCAGCTGTTGGTAGGTATAGTAAGTACAGATGCTGATGTAAATCCTCTGTGTCTTTCATTCTTAGCATTTGATGTATGGATCAGCTGAACAGTTTGCAAGTTGTTGTGCGAAAAAAGACTTGAATATTAGTTTATATGAATATATCTAACTACTGTTTGTACACCTGGCATTGTTTGCACACTAACATCTCGTCAATATCAAAAGGCACAACTAGAGCACAAGTCTGATATGAATATATAAGTTTTCAAGCGATCTCCAAGTTAAGTCCGGCAAATGTGAAAAGCCTTTGGAAAGAACGGACGGACGGGTGGATGGAAGAAGCACAATGAAATATTCGCGCAAATATATTAAGATGAATATATAAATATCCCACATAAGCCGAAACACCAGAGGATACTTAATCTTCACCCATAAAATTAAAAATGATATACAAATATGTCGCATAGAAACCCAAGAGGATGCTAAATCTTTGTCCAAGCATTCAAATAAAATATCTCACATAGGGTGTACCTTGATGTCAAGGTTATTGTGGTGAGCTGTCCCGTGATGTCAAGGTTAGAGTGGTGAGTTGTCCGTGATGTCAAGGTTATAGTGGTGAGTTGTCCCGTGATGTCAAGGTTATTGTGGTGAGTTGTACCTTGATGTCAAGGTTATAGTGGTGAGTTGTACCTCGAGGTCAAGGTTATAGTGGTGAGTTGTACCTTGATGTCAAGGTTATTGTGGTGAGTTGTACCTTGATGTCAAGATTATAGTGGTGAGTTGCTACTTGATGTCAATGTTATAGCGGTGAATTGTACCTTCGGGTTAAGGTTATTGTGGTGAGTTGTACCTCGAGGTCAAGGTTATTGTGGTGAATTGTACCTTGATGTCAAGATTATAGTGGTGAGTTGCTACTTGATGTCAATGTTATAGCGGTGAGTTGTACCTCGAGGTCAAGGTTATTGTGGTGAGTTGTACCTTGATGTCAAGGTTATAGTGGTGAGTTGCCACTTGGTGTCAAGGTAATTGTGGTGAGTTGTACCTTGATGTCAAGGTTATTGTGGTGAATTGTACCTTGATGTCAAGGTTATAGTGGTGAGTTGTACCTGTTGTCAAGGTAACGAATCAATGCAGAAGACATTGTACTGTCCTCGAGTTCCATTGGTGATTACGATCGATGTCCCGAACACGTTTCCTGGCGTCGTTTGTCCTTTTTTTATTAATCATTGCTCGAGCAATGGTAGATGAAGTGAGGTTAGTGTGTCTGTGGGAGAGCAGGGATGGAGTATATGCTACGAGCACACAGTGAGAAGTGAAGTCTGAGAGTACATGTGTACTCCCCTTTACACTTACCTCGCCTACAAGCACACCACACACGCCGATGACAAAGAGAATATTGAAGACCGCCGAGCCGACTATAGTGCCAATCCCAACGTCTCCTTTGGTGATGAATACACCTACAATAACAAAAAAGTGTTTAATTTTAATGTAAACAACTGTATGCAATATGAGTGAAGGTATCGACAATATTGACTTGTCTCTTGTATCTTGTATCTCTAGTTTTGACAAATGATGCCTCGAAAGGAAATATACAGTATTTAACCAATGTTATGGAAAGTGAACCCAAAAATAAAACAGTTGGCTGAGCTGTAATGTAATTACAGTATCTGTAATATAGATCTTACATGGGTAGTGTGTTATCTATGAAAACGTGAAGTACTATTCCAGAATAGTATTATTTTAGTTTTATCGGTAATAATCATTACTTTTTATTCTACATGGTAAGCATTGAAAATTATAACTCATCAAAATGTTGGATTTGATTTAACATATCAAAGGATGCTGTCATAAAGATATACATATATATTGATATATTAGTTACATCTATTGTACTTAAAATCAGTATACATGTCTTCATTATAAATATCCTGACATATTAGTGTCATCGGTTAATTAACCTATGAACTGACTATTCAAGACCTCATAGAGAAAATTAACACAGTATAGGTAGTATTCATTTAAACTTACCAATAATGGCGGTAAAGAGCTCTGGTGCTGAACTTCCCGCCGCCATGAAAGTTGCCCCAGCCACATCTTCACTCATACCCAGTTTCTAAACATAAATCAGATAAAATAGTAAAGGACAAACAACTGACAACAGCATTTCTAACACAGAATAAAAATATAATTTAGATGTTAAGCCGAAACTTCTAGAACTCATCAGTTATGATGTTGAGGACCGAGACGTTAAGACTGAGTTATCGGTACCTGTAACCTTGCTCGCCACCAGGTGTCGTTGTATGTCAACTGCATTCGTCTGAAGTCAGTTCCGTTTTATAACATGATCTCGTTCAAACTAATTACCACATGGGAAAGCTCTTGAATAGACGTATCAGATGAACCTGACAATGTCGACATAGAGGCGACGTCTAAAGCTAGAGTTGTGTGGTAATTTCCAAACGTCATTTTAAAATTAATTTCGTAAATGACTTTGCAGGACGTAAATACCAAACCACAAACTCGATAGGACGTGTAGTATACCAAACCACTAACTCGATAAGACATGTAGTATACCAAACCACTAACTCGATAAGAAATGTAGTATACCAAACCGCTACCTCGATAGGACGTGTAGTATACCAAACCACTAACACGATAGGACGTGTAGTATACCAAACCACTAACTCGATAGGACGTGTAGTATACCAAACCACTTACTCAATAATACAACCATTCCCAGGATTCTATTCCATTTCAGACTGATAAGACGTGTAGGTTATCAACAAACAACTAACTCAAAACTAATGGACGTGTAGTATACGATACCACTAACACGAAATCAGTAGAAACCTTTTTACTATTAAAACCGTATATTGCCTACCTATTATATACGTACGTGTGAGCAATGCATTGAACTACATGTACTTAACGATTTATGAAAAACCCGTAGGAACCCAAATAGCTTCATGTCATGCATCAGCAAACCACTTACTTTAGTTGTAATACAACCATTCCCAGGAATATCTATTCCATTTCAGTTATTTTGTTATATATGTACTAGGAGATAATTATTGTAGGTTATCAACAGTAACAACGTGTCTTACTTGTCACACTGCGTTTAAAAAAATAGTTGTCTACAATAAGACACACTCCTGACACAGTTTGCCCTCACTATAAGAAAACAGAAATCAGTAAAACCTTTTTACACACTTAAAACCGTATATTGTCCTACAATAAGACACACTCCTGATTATATACACACTCCTGTACAGTGTGATGCACAATAAGACATTGAACTACATGTACTTAATGATTTATGAAAAACCCGTAGGAACCCAAATAGCTTCATGTCATGCATCAGCCCAAACTAATTACAGTTTAGTTGTGAAATATAGAGTTATGCACTCCTTACAGTAATATCTATAGATCGTCCTTAATACAGTTATTTTTTTATATAGACACACTGACACCATATTGGATAATTATTGTACAATAAGACACACTGCTGACACCATACAGTAATAGATGTCCTCACAATAAGACACACTGCTGACACCATACAGTAATAGATGTCCTCACAATAAGACACACTCCTGACACAATACAAAAATAGTTGTCCTCACAATAAGACACACTCCTGACACCATACAGTAATGAGTGCCCTCACTATAAGACAAACTCCTGACACCATACAGTAATAGATGTCCTCACAATAAGACACACTCCTGACACCATACAGTAATAGATGTCCTCACAATAAGACACACTCCTGACACCATACAGTAATAGATGTCCTCACAATAAGACACACTCCTGACACCATACAGTAATAGATGTCCTCACAATAAGACACACTCCTGACACCATACAGTAATGAGTGCCCTCACTATAAGACAAACTCCTGACACCATACAGTAATAGTTGTCCTTACTATAAGACAAACTCCTGACACCATACAGTAATGAGTGCCCTCACTATAAGACAAACTCCTGACACCATACAGTAATAGTTGTCCTCACAATAAGACACACTCCTGACACCATACAGTATTAGTTGTCCTCACAATAAGACACACTCCTGACACCATACAGTAATGAGTGCCCTCACAATAAGACAAACTCCTGACACCATACAGTAATGAGTGTGTACTCACGGAGCGACACACTACTGGAACAACAATGAATATGGTGTTCTCAATGCAGAACACATTCATGGAACAATACAGTACAGTGCCCTCATAGTACAATATAATCCTGGTGCAATACAGCACATGATGTCCTCACAATACCACACACCCCAGGTACAATATAATACATGATGTCCTCACAATACCACACACCCCTGGTACTATAACGAATAGGGTGTCCTCATAGGAGAACACATTCCTGACAATACAGTACATGTGTCTTCGAAGTGCAACACTCTGGGCACAATAATATACAGTGTGTCTTCACAGTAAAGCAATCCTGGCACAATATAAAACAGTGTGTCTTCACAGTACAACACTCTTGGCACAATACAGTACAGGTTTCTTCGAAGAACAACAATCCTGACATAACACAATACAGTGTGTCTTCACATTACAACAATCCTGGCACAATATAAAACAGTGTGGCTTCACAGTACAACAATCCTGGTACAATACAGTACAAGTGTCTTCGAAGAACATCATTCCTGACATAACACAATACAGTGTGTCTTCACAGTACAAGACTCTTGGCACCATAGAATACACTTTGTCTTCAAAGTACAACACTCCTGGTACAATACAGTACCGTGTTTCTTCACAGTACAACACACCCCTTGCACAACACAATGACGTATATATTCTGAACTTTGTCACAACCCCGATCACAACACCAAGGACCAAATCAATCAACCAAATTATGATTGAACAAGCCGACTTATTACTTAATTCCTCACATTGTTGTCTTGTGAAACTCACCATGACTGGTTACATAGCTTATTGGTTCTAAATCTTGTCACAAATACTTAAAAAACAACGTTACTGATTAGAAATGACTCACCTGACAATTCTTGTCACAAAATACTTAAAAACAATGTTACTGATAAGAAATGACTCTCCTGTCAATTCTTGTCACAAAAACTAAAAAAAAAACCCACTGTTATTGATAAGAAATGACTCACCTGACAATTCTTGTCACAAAATACTTAAAACAACGTTACTGATAAGAAATGACTCACTTGACAATTCTTGTCACAAATACTTAAAAACAACTTTACTGCTAAGAAATGACTCACCTGACAAATCTTGTCACAAATACTTAAAAACAACTTTACTGCTAAGAAATGACTCACCTGACAAATCTTGTCACAAATACTTAAAAACAACTTTACTGATAAGGAATGACTCACCTGACAAATCTTGTCAAGGGACGTGACGAAGTACTCGTCACACACGATGGCGAGAGCGATGAACATGTAGATGACGAGTATGAGATGGAGGAAGATGGCGCCATGAGATCTTTGGAAGTTATTAAAGGCATCTGGAGGAAACTCGTGGTACGCTAGAATAATAGGTATAGAAAATTAGAGAAAAATAAAACCGTTATCTTACAAAAAAGTTTGAAAGAATAGAAGCAAGGAAATAAAAATCAGAATAAACACATTGATTTAAAAGAAAAAAATGTTTGATGATATACCATAAATTTCGTACTTAGTGTAGATAAAGATGTGATCTAGATGGGCTGCTTCTATTGTCAGAATAAAGATCATATTTAGTGGATAACAATGTGAGCTTGATGACCAGCGGGTATTGTCAGAATAAAGATCATATTTAGTGGATAACAATGTGAGCTTGATGACCAACGGGTATTATCAGAATAAAAATCATATCTAGTGGATAACAATGTGAGCTTGATGACCAGCGGGTATTGTCAGAATAAAAATCATATTTAGTGGATAACAATGTGAGCTTGATGACCAGCGGGTATTGTCAGAATAAAAATCATATCTAGTGGATAACAATGTGAGCTTGATGACCAACGGGTATTGTCAGAATAAAAATCATATTTAGTGGATAACAATGTGAGCTTGATAACCAGCGGGTATTGTCAGAATAAAGATCATATTTAGTGGATAACAATGTGAGCTTGATGACCAACGGGTATTGTCAGAATAAAAATCATATCTAGTGGATAACAATGTGAGCTTGATGACCAGCGGGTATTGTCAGAATAAAAATCATATCTAGTGGATAACAATGTGAGCTTGATGACCAGCGGGTATTGTCAGAATAAAAATCATATTTAGTGGATAACAATGTGAGCTTGATGACCAGCGGGTATTGTCAGAATAAAAATCATATTTAGTGGATAACAATGTGAGCTTGATGACCAACGGGTATTGTCAGAATAAAAATCATATTTAGTGGATAACAATGTGAGCTTGATGACCAACGGGTATTGTCAGAATAAAAATCATATTTAGTGGATAACAATGTGAGCTTGATGACCAGCGGGTATTGTCAGAATAAAAATCATATCTAGTGGATAACAATGTGAGCTTGATGACCAGCGGGTATTGTCAGAATAAAAATCATATTTAGTGGATAACAATGTGAGCTTGATGACCAACGGGTATTGTCAGAATAAAAATCATATTTAGTGGATAACAATGTGAGCTTGATGACCAACGGGTATTGTCAGAATAAAAATCATATTTAGTGGATAACAATGTGAGCTTGATGACCAACGGGTATTGTCAGAATAAAAATCATATATAGTGGATAACAATGTGAGCTTGATGACCAGCGGGTATTGTCAGAATAAAAATCATATTTAGTGGATAACAATGTGAGCTTGATGACCAACGGGTATTGTCAGAATAAAAATCATATCTAGTGGATAACAATGTGAGCTTGATGACCAGGGGATATTGTCAGAATAAAAATCATATTTAGTGGATAACAATGTGAGCTTGATGACCAGAGGATATTGTCAGAATAAAAATCATATTTAGTGGATAACAATGTGAGCTTGATGACCAGCGGGTATTGTCAGAATAAAAATCATATATAGTGGATAACAATGTGAGCTTGATGACCAACGGGTATTGTCAGAATAAAAATCATATTTAGTGGATAACAATGTGAGCTTGATGACCAACGGGTATTGTCAGAATAAAAATCATATCTAGTGGATAACAATGTGAGCTTGATGACCAGCGGGTATTGTCAGAATAAAAATCATATTTAGTGGATAACAATGTGAGCTTGATGACCAGCGGGTATTGTCAGAATAAAAATCATATTTAGTGGATAACAATGTGATCTTAATGGGCTGCTAAAATTGTCAGGATAAATATAATATATAACGATTGTGATAAACACACATTTGGGATTTCGGGCAAAGCAGAGGAAAATAAGCCAACTGTTGAAAGAGTTGGGATTTTATATTTCATTAAGAAAAGAATTTTAAACTCGGAAGATTGAAATGCAATTTGGAACAATATATATTGATTATGTATGTGATCTATCGTGACAACTCAATATAAAGTTCTACACTGATGACTTGGTAGTACCTCCGGGCAGGTCCCAACACACTCGTCCCTTCTCATCAATGGTGTTAAACTTCTCAACCATGAAATTCGCAAAGTTGTTACGGCAAATCCATAACCACCTTTTGATCTTAAAACATGTGCTCGAACAAGTTTAGTATATATATAAACCATTATTAGACAAATATATGTACCATAACGTGATCTTATTCTCCTCGTCCTTTTTCTGTAGCCTAATGTTTCTCTTATTCATATTTTGTCCCAGTTTTGATGAATTTGAATTTGGATTATGATTATGTCGAGGCGTTAATGTTATCTTGTATTTGATTGGCTGGTATCTCTCAGTAAAGGAAACATATATTGCTGTTAACTAATTACATTGGGAAGATTTATCAGCTGGTAAGGTATGTATTCACAAAATGATTCAAATCATGAACGTTAACGATAAAAACAACATGGAAAAGGCCAAAACATATTTCAAATATGGTGTTCTTGGCATGAAATATACCACAACGCTTACCACACTAACAATATGTACCAACAAACAATATACCACAACGCTTACCACACTAACAATATGTATCAACAAACAATATACCACAACGCTTACCACACTAACAATATGTACCAACAAACAATATATCACAACGCTTACCACACTGACAATATGTATCAACAAACAATTTACCACAACGCTAACCACACTGACAATATGTATCAACAAACAATATACCACAACGCTTACCATACTAACAATATGTACCAACAAACAATATACCACACCGCTAACCACAAGTCAACAATATGTATCAACAACAATATACCACAACGCTTACCACACTAACAATATGTACCAACAAACAATATACCACAACGCTTACCACACTAACAATATGTATCAACAAACAATATACCACAACGCTTACCACAAGTCAACACTAACAATATGTAACAACAGACAATATACCACAACGCTTACCACACTAACAATATGTACCAACAAACAACATACCACAACGCTTACCACAAGTCCACACTAACAATATGTACCAACAAACAATATACCACAACGCTTACCACACTGACAATATGTATCAACAAACAATATACCACAACGCTTACCATACTAACAATATGTACCAACAAACAATATACCACACCGCTAACCACAAGTCAACAATTTGTATCAACAACAATATACCACAACCTTTACCACACTAACAATATGTATCAACAAACAATATACCACAACGCTTACAATACTAACAATATGTACCAACAAACAATATACCACAACGCTAACCACAAGTCAACACTAACAATATGTATCAACAAACAATATACCACAACGCTTACCACAAGTCAACACTAACAATATGTATCAACAGACAATATACCACAACGCTTACCACACTAACAATATGTACCAACAAACAATATACCACAACGCTTACCACACTGACAATATGTATCAACAAACAATATACCACAACGCTTACCATACTAACAATATGTACCAACAAACAATATACCACACCGCTAACCACAAGTCAACAATTTGTATCAACAACAATATACCACAACCTTTACCACACTAACAATATGTATCAACAAACAATATACCACAACGCTTATAATACTAACAATATGTACCAACAAACAATATACCACACCGCTAACCACAAGTCAACACTAACAATATGTATCAACAAACAATATACCACAACGCTTACCACACTGACAATATGTATCAACAAACAATATACCACAACGCTTACCATACTAACAATATGTACCAACAAACAATATACCACACCGCTAACCACAAGTCAACAATTTGTATCAACAACAATATACCACAACCTTTACCACACTAACAATATGTATCAACAAACAATATACCACAACGCTTATAATACTAACAATATGTACCAACAAACAATATACCACACCGCTAACCACAAGTCAACACTAACAATATGTATCAACAAACAATATACCACAACGCTTACCTCACTGACAATATGTATCAACAAACAATATACCACAACGCTTACCATACTAACAATATGTACCAACAAACATTATACCACACCGCTAACCAAAAGTCAACAATATGTATCAACAACAATATACCACAACGCTTACCACACTAACAATATGTATCAACAAACAATATACCACAACGCTTACCACAAGTCAACACTAACAATATGTAACAACAGACAATATACCACAACGCTTACCACACTGACAATATGTATCAACAAACAATATACCACAACGCTTACCACACTGACAATATGTATCAACAAACAATATACCACAACGCTTACCATACTAACAATATGTACCAACAAACAATATACCACACCGCTAACCACAAGTCAACAATTTGTATCAACAACAATATACCACAACCTTTACCACACTAACAATATGTATCAACAAACAATATACCACAACGCTTACAATACTAACAATATGTACCAACAAACAATATACCACACCGCTAACCACAAGTCAACACTAACAATATGTATCAACAAACAATATACCACAACGCTTACCTCACTGACAATATGTATCAACAAACAATATACCACAACGCTTACCATACTAACAATATGTAAAAAACAAACATTATACCACACCGCTAACCACAAGTCAACAATATGTATCAACAACAATATACCACAACGCTTACCACACTAACAATATGTACCAACAAACAATATACCACAACGCTTACCACACTAACAATATGTATCAACAAACAATATACCACAACGCTTACCACAAGTCAACACTAACAATATGTAACAACAGACAATATACCACAACGCTTACCACACTAACAATATGTACCAACAAACAATATACCACAACGCTTACCACAAGTCCACACTAACAATATGTACCAACAAACAATATACCACAACGCTTACCACACTGACAATATGTATCAACAAACAATATACCACAACGCTTACCATACTAACAATATGTA